ATGCATAAAAGATATATTTCAGGTGGCTTGTAACTGCAGAGACTTATGATCCAGCTATTTCAATCTCTGCCCAGGTTAGCTGTGAGTATGTAAGCCTGTGCCACATTCTTGACTAGGATACATCTAAGTGTATACACTGTGACTACTGGTCCTCAATCAATCAGTCTTTAAAAGCAGGGCAATCTGACTTCCAGTTCCTGGTCCAGCATACAAAGAACTCAGAAGTCATCACTCCCATCCACACAGAAGAGCCGTGAACAGCTCTGCTGACATGCATCAAAGAGCGGAAGTCACAAAGAAAAGTGAAGCTCAAACACTGTGGGGAGACAGCAGGGAGAAGGTCACAACAAGGAACACCTAAACTAAGGGATGGACTAGACACATTTGACGGTTAAGTACTCCAGGGCAGGGCATCTTTGGGGAGGTCCCCCCAAACCTGTGGGCTGTACCTCTTGTAACCCTACCACCACCCTCATAGTGCAGACAGAAAACTCTCTTGTGCTGCAGCAAAGTGGGGGATGACAGGCATGCCACAGTAAGCTGGAGCATTCTGTTCGAAACCAGGCCTCCCCCAGAGAAAGCCCTTCCAGAGCCTAACCAACACGGCTTCAGCGGAAACCAACCACTTTGGAGGATGTTTAATGCCCAACACCAGGCCCCTTTCCTGTCCCGCTTAAGAGTTAACAAACAACAAAACCAAGAAGCATATGTAGGACACAGACCAGGAGCACAAACTCACTCACAGATTGAGACCTCACCCCTCTCCTCACTCACAGAGCTCCTGAAATGGAACTGTCCCTGAAACAAATGCAAACTGCAGACCTTATTTAAGGGACCTCAAGGGAAAGCCAAATACAAAGACATAAAAAACAAGAACACCAAGTCAAGCACCACAGTACACGCTATTCAAGATGCTGCAGCAAGAGGATCGAAAACGGAACTTAGCAAGGCTCTGCCTCAAGCAAACAACAGGGCAGGGTGCAGCCCAGCGATGGAGTGTTTGCCTAGTGTGTGCCCTGGGTTCCACCCCTAGTATGCAAATAAGAAAAGACAGCGAACAAGGACAGAAGAAGAATTTCACCCTCCAACGCCAACAGCAAATAATAAAATGGCCTAAATCCCAGCCAAATACACATAAAACTTCACACTAAAGGACTATTTGCCCTGGTTCCTTTTACCTAATATATCATATTTAACAAAACATTACAAGGTACACAAAGAGCAATATGACGATAGCATTCTTTTTTAAAGTACTGAAAATATCACCTTTGGTAATACCATATATTATAAATGATATACAAAACTGAAACAGACATGCAATCTTTTTGTTTGTTTGTTTGTTTTTGAGGGGTCTCACTGTGTAGTCGAGACTGACCTGGAACTCACTATGTAGCGGAGGCTGCTCTCCAACTCACAGCGATCCTCCTGCCTCAGCCTCCAGAGTGCTGGGATTATAGGCATGCGCCACCACGCCCAGCCAGACATGCAATCTTTAAGAGTATTCACTCAAACACACACTCATATCATGATTAAGTATCTTAGGATCTTCCTGTTAAAGTCAGGTACAGAGGATATTATAACATTTTACTGGATACTGTTCACTATTACAGTGGAGATCTTAACTAATGGTATTAAGTAAGATTCGAAAAGACGAAGGCTTAAGTATCAGGAAATCACCAGCAAATGGAGACATTTATAAGATAATCATTTCAACTAAATTACTATTAAACTAAGTGTTTCAGTAATATGTTTGGATAAAAAATTAGCCCATAAAAATTAACATCTTCTAGATTGGCCAGCTTTTCCATTACTGGAAAAAAATTCCCAATCCACAATTTAAAGGAGAAGAGGTTTAATTTGCCTCCCAGTTTCAGGGTTTTCAGTCCAAAAAGAACACAGGGAAGAAAGGGTATGGAGCAGGGAGGCTGCTCAGTGCAGGGCGGCTGAGGCAGAGCAGGGAAGCAGAGCTAGAGCAGGGCCAGGGACCAGACAGAGGCCAGGGACCTGCTCCGGGACCCACACACCCAGCATGGGCCTTACTCTCTGAGGGGCTGCACTAACCAAGCCGATCGAGCTGAAAATCCAGTCTCCCTGCCACAGTGTACATTAGCAAATCATCAGGAAATGTAACAGAAAAATACTATTTCAAAGCAGGTGAAAACTCATAAATCTAACAAGAATGTCAAAGTTACATCAAATTTTAAAACTTTATAAAAAAAAGAATATAAAACATATAAAAGACATTAGCCAAGCATCTCAATTCCATTACACAAAATATTAAAGATACAGGGCCAGGGATTTAGCTCAGCGGTTCCGTGGCATGCCTTAAAAGTGCAAGGACCCCCGGTACCAAAAAAAACAAAATATTAAAGATATCGATTCTCACCCAATCACTGTCACTCCCAAAGCAATCTAAAACACCTACAGGTAGGCCGGGGATTAGTTCAGTGGCACCGTGCCTGCCTCACAAGCACAAGATCGTGAACTGGTTTGGGGCGGGGAGACACCTACAGGATTTGAAGGCATGGATCATGCAATATCTCATATGAAGAAAAGTAGAAAGAGTAACATAGTAAACATGTAACCAATCCATCTTTAAAAATATAAGACATTATCAAAATAATAAATAGACGAGGAAAAAAATAGCAAGACCTTTCCAACACAGGTGAAAAATAAGAGCTATGAAGATTTCCGCTGTACTATACAGCAAAGCACACTAGGTAACTGCAGCAGCTGAAACCGTTCAGGAGGCGGGAGCAGATCCAAGGCAGGCACTTGGCTGGGTTCAACCCCCAGCATGGCACAGGGAAAAGAGAACAGCAGCACAAACGTGCATGAATGCCAAAGAACAGAACGGATTACAGAAATGGGCTCCTAAATGTGTAACAGATAACAGGACTGAAAAAAGCTAAACCACACACACACCATATACATGCAGATCAAAAGGCTAATTATAAAAAAAAAATCACATTTTAAAAGTAGAACAAGAAATTAGGGTAAGCAGGTCTTTAAAGTATCATGGTGCTAATAGTACAGTATTCTAAAGGCAAACTGTCTACAATGAAAGACTCAAAAAGTTTTAAAAAGTGGTCATAAGAAACACCTAATACTGGGCCGGAAACTTGGCTCAGTGGTTCCGCTACCTGCCTCACAAGAACAAAGTCCCGAGTTTGATCCCCGGTACCAAAAAAAAGAAACACGTAATACTTACCAATCATAGTGTTTGATAATAGTGATCAATCCAAACAACCCAATGAAAAATTGTAGACTACAATATCAATCGGAAATGTGATGAAAGGGGAACTACCCAAATTTATACTCAGTAAATGAATTCTTTTGACCTCCCCACTAATCAAGTATACAGTAAAAATGATAACATACTATCAATAACTACCACAGAAAAATTAAATATTTTATGACATATTTATGTCACAAATTCTATGAAGACTTTACAGCGATGGGAATGATTTATATTTAAACATGACATTTTCTCTTGAGATTACAGTGCTAAATATAAGCGACAAAAGATGTACAGTATAAAACACTTTAAAATAATAAAACCTACGTAAATGTATATGTGTATTAATTCACAGGTATCTAGAGGGATAAACACCAATCTCTCAAAGTGATCTCATCTGGGGATCAGTCAGATTGGGGAAAGGGGCAAAAAGGATTACTTTCATTTTCTCTTATATATACTACATGAATTCTTATAATAAACATTAATTTATGGGAGGCTGAGGCAGGAGGACTGCCTTAAGTTCAAGGCCCACCTGGGCTATACAGGGAGTTCCAGGCCAGCATGGACTACATAGAAAGACTGTATCTCAAAAAAGCAGAAGTGTATCATGTGTACAATTACATCCTAATTTAAGCCCTCTTCCTTTTTACCTTACAAAACTCAGTAAAACACAAATGCACCATTCAGCCCGCAGCATGTACGCTTACATGCTCCCAGGTAGTGTACTTGATCCTGAAGAAAGAAGTAAGTCAAGCCCTACACAATTCAGAACGTGGTGGGAGAAACAACAGTCACTTAATCTTTTCTATGCTGTCACAGGAAAATACACTCAAGAGCTGAGGGAACAGAGATATTATGTAAGATGACTTTCAATGTAGGCATCTCCAAAGATGAACAGGAATGAGGAGGTTGGCAGGCAAGTCTCGGGCAGAGGTAACACCAGTGTGTTAGGGCACACAGTGGAGCACGTACGAGGAGGAGCCAAGGGCACTCGTCATCTATGCGACCCTGGGAAAAACCTAACCTCTGCATGAAGGATGGGCAAAGTACCCCCTCAGAGGGCTGCTGAGCGGCCTCGAGGGCCAGGAAGCCGAGGCCTGACCGCGCCTCAGTGAGCGTGAAGGAGAAGGGCAGGAGGGAAAAGTGAAGGCAGCCGAGGTCGAGCTGCTCCCCAGCGCTGCACTGATGGACCCTGGAAAGCAGGGGAATCCTGTGTCTCTCTCACTGCTTGTGCCGTGTTGGGGTGATAAGAGCGAGGTGAGCTGAGGGCGCGGGCTCCTCTGCCTGCTAGAGGCACAGCCCTCGGCCGCCCAAATGTTAAGCTGACTGGAGTCTCAGTGTTTCTTCCTGCATCCCCCGGGATGGGTCAGGCCGGGGAGAACAGAGCAGCAGCTCTGAGGCCCAGAGCAAGGCTACCGGGAAAGCACGGGGCGGGCTGGAGCAAGCAAAGTGAGACACAAGAGTGCGAAGGGAATCTGGCCGCTAGCTCTTCCCACACTGATTTCTGAGGCTGGCCTGCATGCTTCACCTGGCTCACTATGTTCTCTCTCCCTGCGCCTCCAGACGCATCTAGGCGGTCAGGAAACCCTCGCAGCTCTTCACAGTGTTTACTCGGCACACATTCCACTTCTTCCCTCCTCACAGACACCTCTGTGACACCGAGAACGGCCCTGTAGGGCTGCGGGGCGGCCACTGTCAGGGTGGCGTATCTGAGAAGCGTCCACTCACCGCGCAGAGACAAACACCACTTCGTACTTACAGGCTGAGGCTGCTCCGCGATGCAGCAGTTGAAACACAGCCAGAACTCACTCATGCTTTCAGTTCCGAGAGGAATGAGCACCGATGGTGGCTCCAAATCCCACCCGGGAAGCTCCACGCGGTGTGGCCTTCAATGCGAGGAAAGTCCAATTGGAGTAGTAATTCTGCTTCACTATGTTCTGTTCTTGGAAGTCAAATCGTCAATTCAAACAGTCGGATCGCTTCCTTTCTTTGCTTCTGGTTCTGCACACTCCTTTTGAACCAGCAGGAAGGTATAAAATTGCTATCTTGACCCAAGGCCTACAGTAAGTAGCCTAGAAAAAAAAAAAGAGAAAGTAGAAGAAAATAAGTTTACTTAACCCTGGAAACACTTTCTTCTTAAATCTGTGATGAAACAACTATTACCCCCAAAATACACACTGAAAAATCAAGATTTTAACAAACGGACGCTCATTTAACAAATTATTTTTTGACACCTTGAGTGTCAAATGCTAGGGATATAACAATGAAAACAGAAATCCTTGCCTTCATGGAACATTCTATTTCATAATTATACTACATAAACTACATAATTTAATACATTTTAATAAAAATTAGTAATTAGAACATTATGATTACTGTCTCAAATTCCAAGAGGAAATATCATTTTCATGTTTCTTCAGTGTAACTCTTGTTCTCATAGACAACCATCATAGTAACTAACATAGCACTAACTGTATAATCATCAAAAATCTTACACTAAATTATCTCCTACCTTGCCCACTGAAATTAGAATTGTACATAAAACTTGGATAGGTTAAACTATGCTTCCTTCTGTGACTCAAGCTATTAAGACAACCCTGCCCCAACGTCCCCAGGACAAAGTGGGTCGCTCAGGGATCTGGAGTTAGAGAGTAGACTTATTCTTGATCACTACTGCCAAGCCAGTGACTTGGAGGATGACCTCAGTCAACTATGATCCACCCTCACACATCAGATACTTCTGAGAGAACAACACGGTCTAACAGAGACAAAAAAGAAGCAGCCCTAGCCAGGTATGGTGGTGCATACCTGTAATCCTAGCACTCGGGAGCTGAGGCAGGAAGATCAGCACAGCTGGACCTACCTACAGATCCAAATTCAAGGAGGTGTCTTAGAACAATGAACAGATTGTAACGGAAGCAATGACGACACTCTAGGGGAAACAGAATTATGAGGAGCCAAGAGGGCTATCGGAGAACTAAGGAACAGCCACATTTACGAGACCCACAGAAAAAGAGAAGTCTACAAAGAAGGTGAATGCCAGGGAAGAAAACCCGTTCAATGAGGTCCACGGGAGCCCTGTCGAGGAGGAAGCAGCGAAGTGGGAGACGGAGAACCACCCACAGGCACTCATAGCCCTGAAGACAGCAACTTCGGGGAACAGTGAGCACAGAGAGATGACAGGAAGGCAAAGCGGGAGAGCCAAGTGGAGGCTGTGTTCGCAAGAACAAACAGAAAACTTAAAAAGATAATGTGGTATGTGGTGTGAAGGAGAAAAGCCATCCTGGAAAAGACCAAACACAGCTTACTTCAATTATCCAAAGAGACGCTAACACTGCGTCCCAACTGATTAAATCTAAATAATGTATCTATAAACTTTTGAAAGAAACCTCATACATATTTATAAGCACTGCTAACTATTTATCAGTAACAACCACATTCTGGAGTCACAGAACCTGAACACTGAATTCCTCCCTTTTGCTTTCTCCAAAGTCCTGACTCCCACGCCGGGTGAGACGGGAGCGGTGGTAGTTGGTGCGGATGGAGACCTGCGGGGAGGATAATGCATGTACATGTGCTCATCGTCACAGGTCTGGGCTGCGGATGGCTGGGTCCCGGTCCCACAGAGTCCAAGGAGAAGCCTCCTCACACAGATGGGAACCATACGTTAAGATTTAAACACGCATGCAAGGAACAGCAAAAAAGAAAACTTTCTTTTTTGCCAAAATTAAAATTCAGAACCAGGAAGGGTATTTTAAGCAGGAACAAACACCCAAACTCTAACACCAGGAAGCGGCAGTCTTTTTGTCCACTGAATTAGGTAAGTAACGTGGAGTCGTATTAGTTCAAAAAGAACTACACATTTCACTTATCTCCTCTGCCCAATCTTATTAGAAAGATTATAAGAAACGATTAAATTCACAGTGTAATGCACATCATTCCTGTGCTGCTCCTTTTTTAACTGATATATACTCCATGATGAACGTTAATTACCTACTGCAAATACAGCTCCATATCAATGGTATGCCACCTAACGTTACACATGTATAGACTGTATTATGTTTAAACATTTATATTTTATGGCGAAAACCTGAAAATCCTTTTAAAATGAATAGCATACTTCTGTTCTCTAGCCATGTTACCGTGCAGCACACATCTGAATGGTGCTCCTAACTGCAACTCAGGGCTTGCTCCGGGATAAAACGTGGCCTTGCAACAAGTTTAATTCCACCCTGGATCAAAGAACTTGGTTATTATGTCAATTGGAAATGAAATTTCTTTCTAACCATTCTATCAACAAGTCTTTGTTAGAAAAGTAGAAATTCTTTGCCTATCACCACCCTGGCACACACACAGCCACTCTGATGTTTTCTTTCTTTCTGGAACTCACTATGGAGCCCAGGCTGGTCTCGAACCACTCTGATGTTTTCCAATATACTGGTTTGGTTTATTCTCCTCCAGTACACATTTTCTCATTTACATCTAAGTCACCAGAAACTACCTTCAAATGTTAATCTTACTTTGGGGGGTGCTGTGTTTTCCTTTTCTTCACTAGTTTTAACTAAGTGCTACTTAAAGTGGTTTTATACTGTATAATCTATAAAAAACACTATCACATCCACATTTCCCCAAATTCCAGTTTACTTCACAATTAGCATAAAACAATTTTTTTTAAATGTACATTTTCCTACTTTCAGAGTAATGTTTATAAGATGAGCGTGGTGGCGCACACCTGTAATCCCAGCTCTCGGGAGACTGAGTAGGTTGATCGCCATTAGTTCAAGGCCAGCCTGGACTACATAATGAGCTCAAAGCCAGGCTGGACCACACAGCGAGACCCTGTCTTTAAAAAAAAAAAAGGATGATGTTTACAATACTTCCTCATAAGGTTTAGCTGAAGAACGACTATTTAAAGCTGACCAACGTGGCATACACCTGGTATCCCAGCCACTTGGAAGGCTGAGGCCGGGGGACTTGGGGAGTCTGCAGGCCAGTGTAAGAAACTCAGTGAAATCCTGTCACAAAATAAAACTTCAGAAAAGGACAACAGAAAAAGGACATGGCTCTGAAGTAGATTACTTGCCTAGCATGTGTGAGACCCTAGATTCAATCCCTAGAATTGGGGGGAAAAAGACTAAAGTATAACAATTTGAGCTTTTGTTTGCTCCCACTATAAAAGAGAAAATGCTGAGATGTCATTTCCTAAGGGAAGGCTTGCAACTCCATGGATTTTGGTTAAATGAATATACAGATCTTAAAAGTTTTCAAACAATGGGGCACGCAATTGTCATTTCAGCAGGCTGAGGCAGGTAGATTGCTGAAGTGTAAAGCCATTATGAGTTACACAGTAAGCTCAAAGCCAGCCTGAACTAGAGTGAGACCCTGTCTCAAAATAAATAACAAAAAAATAAAAAATAAATTAAAAAAAAATCAAATGTGCCTGGGACTATATTAGCATATTTTCTACCTTCCTGTTTTCTTCAACAAACCTCCTTTAAAAATGTATAACCTTGGGCCAGGGATTTAGTTCAGTGGTGCCTGCTCCTGCCTCGCAAGTGTCCAAGTACAAGGTCCCAAGTTCGATCTTTAGTACCCCCCCGAAAAAGAGTAACCTTAAAATACATAGCTAGACCCCTTGAAGTCTTCAGAAAAATCTCCACTAATTGTTACTAATAACTATATTCTACTACCTCCTTCTTTGTTTGGATATCTCACTCTGCAGTACAGGCTGTCCTTGAAGTCAAAGCAGTCCTCCTGCCCCAGAGCGCCCCCATGTTAGGGTTATAGGCATGCACAGCTTTTCCATTTTGAGGACATACCAATATTTGAACTTCCTCAGCCGCAAGTTACCCAAGCTTATTTTTAAAAGCTTATACTTAGAAAGATCTCTAGACAGCAAAGGGAGGACCACTCTGTAGTAACGGCAACATAAAAATTTGCCTTTACACACATTTCATACATAAGTGAGAAGTCCGAGTAGTCTACAGCATGAGACACTTCATGGGCTCAGAAACTTATTTTGAAGACACAAGATTTTAGAAAATGAAGGAACCTTAAACATCTTGAAATTTACTCATTTACTATGTAGACAGAAGTGAATTATCCAAAGCTACGCAGCTAGTGACCGTCACAGTTTCCTTGAATTAAAAAACAGTCTCCAGAGCTGGGGATTTAGCTCAGTGGTTCTGCCACCTGCCTTGCAAGCGCAAGGTCCAGAGTTCGATCCCCAGTACCAAAAAGAAAAAAGCAGTCTCTTGACTTATACATGAGCTGGGGTGAGGAGAACAGTGTGTAAGGCACTGCAATAAACTTCAGAGATGTCAGCGGGGCAAAGGCCCAGCTCTGGCACCCTCGGCATGTTCAGCTGTAAAACAAAATGCTTCGTTCCAGTGTCAAAGGTCTGAAAGGAAGGACTGCAGGGCATACACAAAGGCTCCACACGTATTAAGAAGAGCTACAGTGATAAAGCTGTCACCAGAATTAAGAGCGAAACAAGAATGAAGCGATAAGCGCGGGTATAATTTGCTTTTTCATTAGTACATGTCTGTGGTACACAGTGATCACATGGACCCCAAGGAATTTGCACCCGTACATGTGCATGACCCAGCTTGCTGCTGCTTTTAAAATGAGATCTCACTACATTCCCCAGGCAGACACCAAACTCCTAGACTCCAGTGTGATCCCTTAAGTCTTAGCCACCCCAAGAGCAGGAGCACAGGCACACGCCACTGTGCCTGGCTTACTGCAAATTTAAAACCATCCAAAAGTCTATCAAGAAAAAAAAAAGAAAATTTTATGATACATTCACACAAAATGAAAGTGAGTA